GGGTGAGATGGAGGAGATCGTGTGAAGAGGATTTGAAACAGTATGGATTAACATGGATGCAGGTGAAAAGTACAGCAGAAGACAGAAGCAAGTGGAGACATGCAGTTGAAGCCCTATGTTCCACGAGGAACCCAGAGGAACAATGATAATAATACCTAGCACTCGACCGAAGCCTCACCTCAATATTGCTCATCCTATTATACCACTTCATACGGGAGATAGAACGCAGGTAGCTATGATCAGAGACAATTAGCTAGCCTTTTCATGTCTTCCTCTCTCAATGGCCATGTCTTGCTGACAGCCATAAAGGAGGACCGAGCGGACTGCTTGGTCGATAGCCGGATATCACGTCTACGCCAGAGACGGCGTTAACTGGCATATGCAAAACTGGACTTCTGTATCCATGCTGAGATTTCGTCAGCGATCAATCAGTTGGTGCTGGCTGATACAACTTCCCAGATAAGTGAAGTGGTCAACACGCTCTACCACTTCACTTTCTATTTCTAAGCTGGCAGTCAATGTAATCCAGTCCTGTAGCATCAACTCACGTTTGATAAAGAGAGCAAATCGCATGCCAAACATTCGCAGATTACAGCTCAAGGTGTTCAGAAGACTCTGCATTTTGTCATTGTCTTCACCTGGAAGGACTACATCATTTGGATATTCTAAGTCGACAAGATTATTCCCTAGTAACAAGTCAATCCTTGAGTCTCTGAAGTGAGTTAGGGTTAAGTCCACTAGTACACTTATGATGAAATTGAATAGTAATGAGGATAGTGGGCATCCCTGACGGACACCACTAATTGTCACCAGTTCAGGTGACAACTAGCCGTAATCTCTCACCTGGCTGCACGAGATCGAGTAGAGTGCCTTGATGAGTGCGATGTACTCTATCGGTATTGCATTTACAGTCAAGCATCGCTATAGTACCTCTCGGTCGACAGAATCGAATGCCATCTTCAGATCGAGAAATATAGAGATTGTTGGGCGCCGGTAAGTATGCGCGTGTTCCAGAATCTGTCGAAGGGTGAAGATATGATCAATATACCCTCTTCCTGTTCTAAATCCTGCCTGGTTCTCTCGTGTTTGTGCTTCCCGAGCACCACAATTACAAATAAGATACTGAGTATGACACTACCATCATTTCATAGGACCTTTAAAGTGATATCGACCATCCTGCTGTAGTAGGCACTCCTAAAACTGCTTTCAGTGCTTGTGTGAGTCCTTCAAACCATGTGGTGAAACTTAACATTGAGCTTCCTTCAGTAATATTAGTTTAATGGGGATTCGTATGGTCAACCTATGTCGTTTAAATCTCTTGTGAATTAACTGGGTCAGCCACATGCAAATTCTTGGTGTACCCACTTAGACCTGTATACATTTGTTTCCTAAAAAGGATTTAGTCATTCCTTGCAAGAATTACAGTTATAAGACGCATTAGCACCAGTCCGGTCTGCACCTGTTGTAGTTCTCAAGAAAAAGGATGGATCTTATGTATTTAGGTTGCCTTTTCCAGTGTCATGATTTCAACCCTACAAAAAAACACCATTATCTTCTATTTGTTCCAGGTGATTTATCCACAATTCCAAGAGACAGCTGTTAATTCGCAAAATTAGATCATACGGACGAATATCTCCAGGAAATTAAGAACTCCTGACCAATCATACACATCGGAGTCTGTTTTATTACAGCAGCTAACTTTTTGGAATTCTCTAATTATTTTCCAAAAACTGATAAATACATTGTTATCTGGTGCTCTATGTACAGCTATCTAGACAATGTCTTGCTTGAAGCTACATTTTTGGCAACTGTCTTGTCACGGATTACTAATGCGGTTTTTATAGTGACCTGTCAAATACCTTGAAATTATGTTTGATGTATGTGGCAGACATCCCGATTCTGACAACCACGAAATAACTTATTAGGAAAGAATGCAGCCTGTGAATAGTCAGAAAGATGAAGACTTTTCTCAGCTCTTAATTGCTTTTGATACCTTATGACCTAAATATTCCCATTGGCTGTTTAGTACATACTCAAAACTATACAGTGGGAACATTGGATGTACAAGTATTTCCAAAAGGCAGTTACACAAAAACGCTGACAACTCAAGTGCCTTAAAGCAGCCAGTTTCCCTGTTTACAGACCAATTTTGGATATGATTTCAACAATTAATATATATGTGAATCACTGACTGTAAACAAACCAGTGCATCCATCTATCTAGTCAGTTTTTATATAAATTAAAGTAAACACGCAGTGATTGGAACAACTGCCTAAAAAGAATAGACAGTTCCCTTAGATATGGTACCACTCTACCACTACCAGTAACTGCCGCCAGAGTGTAGTGCTGTAATATTTATGGAGAATCTAAACGAATACACAGTTCAGTGGAGCTATAAAATGCTCTTCGGCTTGCCATAACCTCCTGTGTAGGTACTTAATATCCGAGAAGAACAAAACAGTAACTCTAAGAGCGACAGTTCTCAAAAAGTACCACACGCCAGATCTTAGGATGCATACATCACGGGGTTTTGCATATTGGTGAAATACGAATAACATCGTCCACTGTGTCAAACCACACATTTCCTATTCACAAAAACGCTACTTCGCAAATCGACGATGTTTGCATATATGATGGAGATGGGACACCGTTTAGTCTAGTCACCGGAAAACAAAATCAAGTTGGTAGGAAATAACAAGGTTGTTACCATGATAGTAGAAATGTTTGAATACTTTTCTCTTGTGTGTAGAGCTCCGGTTGCTCTGTCTGAATGCCAAAGTCTTTAGAAATACATTTTATGGTCCGCGTCAGCACTAAATTCAGCCACAAGGAGACAAATCACTAAGCCGTAAACTATTGATAAGGATCGGTAGAAAACTGCCACTCCTTCTGTGAAACACATACTTGAACTGTGATTAAGAACTAGTCCATGCATGAATTCAGCAGAAAAAAAAAGAAAACATTTAGCTGCGGGACTTCAATACCACCAACTCCTTGATGAGAACACTAAGTTTTCATCTGAACAATAAATAACTGAGCCCGTATCTTATATTGATGCAAAAACTAATCTCCAGAAAAATTGGTGTAATATCTAGTCAGCTGTATAAATTAAGCTGGAGGTTTTTCATAAACTGAAAACCATTTCTACTGCTTCATTCAAATCGACAGACTCGAGAGGATTAATTTTGGTGAGCTGGGAATATGATTAGTGGGAAAAGTTGCTCGAATGCGAAAAGACTTAAAGTCTCCACAACGACCGTGAACAGTAGTGTCTAACGAAATCCAAAGAGATGGAAAACGCATCAGTCGTAGGTAAAACCGAGTGGATAAAACTAGTTAGATTCATTAGGGAAACGAGTTGTAAGCACCGATCGATAAGTGAAACAATTTCCGAGGACGGGATTTCACTTTGCCAACCATGTGTGTATGTATTTGTGGCCACAAAGAGTGACGACAACGTGTTTATCTCGCACTAATCAACACACTGAGCGATCGAACTCACGTAGCTGTGTAACGGTTTATGGAAAAGTGTCATCTGACATCTGATGACAACCAGTGATGTCTGTCCTGTCAATATTCTTCATTTTTATTTGCTATGTCATAGATGTTCTAATGAATGTGATCCAAATCGACTTCAGTAACCCAGGGATTGATTGGTGTCTTACCAGGGAAGGATCTCATCGATCGGGAGTATGCAGATGATGTTGTCCTTGTGGTGGAAACATCGACAAAATACAGTCTTCTGAACACCCTAATCAAAGATATCGGTATGTGTTGTTTGTATGGGATTCGTCCGTGTCCAACGAAATCCGATGCTGCAGGACTGCTCTGCATTGCACCACTCTGACTCGCATGTTAGAGATAGGGAGTGTGTGTAGTGGTTAAGTGTGTGTTGACCGCCTCACCTATGTGAGAAGTTGCAAAAGTCGTAGTGGGATTGATGGCTAACGAAATGTCAGGATTGATACCGAAGGCTCGTGTGGCATTCACCAACTTACATCATCTCTCACATAGGCATGATATCAGGCTATCGACAGAAGGACGCATGTACTGCTGAGTGGTTCAATTTGCTCTTTATGAGTGTGACACATAGGCACTGAACATGGAAGACTTGAAGAGTTTAGTTGTCTTTGACCATAGGTAATTGCCTTGTATCTGTCGTGTAAAGTGGTGTCATCATACAGTGAATAAGATTGAAGTTAGGCGAAGGATGTTGGGTGACGAGAGAGAGGGAGAAAGAGTCAATCAATGAAGTCGTGAAACTGCGTCGGTTGAGTGAGATGAGCTAGAATATGTGTTATGGACGCCAAGTGATCGCCTTCATCATCGAGCAATGTTAGGTGACATGTGATTGGGCTGGAAAAAGTGAAGAATGATCTTTGTCACCATTAGTCACTATAAACCGGCATCATCTGTGCATGGCAACTATAAGAAATTCATCTACTCCGAGGTTACGTAGAGTCAAGGCAATAAATCATAAGATACCTATGCAAAAGTGAGGTTGTTATATTCGATAACTACTTTTACTTCTTTTATATGCTTGTTTTATTTTAATGCTTAAACACACCTGAACTTGCAACAAATTTTGTGTAGATTTCACGCATTATCTTTGTAGAGTATTTCTAGATAAATCGGAAACTAGTGAAAATTTTTAGAATTATTGACAATATAGCATGAGAAAGTCACGAATAAAAACAGTCGATGATTTCCTCTGAAATGAATCCCAACAGAAGGTAGCCATCCAATCAAAAATATCATAAGGTTAGTACTACAGACTAAACTGTATCGCGTTAGTTGATGTACAGTGGACTGCTACTTTACTTGACGCTGGACGAAGAGGAGATAATTATGTGGTATATTACACTAGGAATCTTATAAATTTCTGAAAACATTCTGTCCAGAACAAAGCTAGTTATTATATCATCCATCTTAGTGCCAAAGTGTGATATCCACTGCCCTTAAATCTCCTTGAAATAAGTATAAATCCTTACGAGAACATTTTGTTTTTGCTTCACAATATATTTTAAAACATTAAAGAAAGAAAAATATGCAACATTAAAGAAACATTATCACTGTTAGTAGCACGATTAATGAATACAGAAGCTTGCCACTTAACATACACACACCATGATCATTCAGTACACGTTAAGTAAATGTCTAAAAAAGACAAAACAGATTGAATTGGAATCACAGTAAGCAAGTAGTAAGTATTTAGAAAATCACAACAAAGATACTTCTCAAAGAGAAAAAAGCCTTCTGTGAATTCGCAATGATACAGGGGAATTCATTTCTTTTTATTTAATAGTCTCCTTTTTTTATCTATTGTTAATTGTTTCTCCTCTACTGACAAGGAGGATTCGAACGGACTCGATGAAACTATCTCCGACTTTTTGTGAGGGGAGTCAGCGGGATTTGCCATGATGTTACTGGCATAGGTTGATGTTGAAGTAGTCGGGTTAGTAGCAACTGAAGTAGTAGCAGTGGCAATATTAGTTTCAACAGAAGATGAAGATATCACAATTTCACTGGTTTCTTTCATAGTCGATTTTAGTTCCTTTCGACTACGAAAAATATCCAAAATTAATTGCTGATCACTTGATTTAACACCCTATAAAAAAACAAAAACAACAACAGAAAACAGAAGCTTTAGATCTTAAGAATAATGACAATAAAATACGAGGCACAAGAACACGGATACGGTTACCTTATCACAAAAAACAAGAAAACTATCTGAACATAAATTACACAATGAAGTAAACACTCAGAAATCTATGTTATTCAGTAGTCCGTAATACTTCGTAGCACATATTTCGAAACGTATCGACTAAAGATCATGATCTAAAAGTTCAGTTCATCTTAGTTTATTCAGTTAGATACCATGTCATACTTGGAAATTCACATCTACATATATAATTCAAACAGAAAACAACAAACTTATAGAATCGGAAGAAAACTACGATTTGGATATTTTTTTTCTAAAGATTTCTAACATGCCACCCAATGAATGGACACGAGTGACATCTGTTCAAGATGACTAAATAATTTGAGGTTTCTGACATCATTCTCCACCCTGTTCATTTTAATCAGACTAGTATAGGTGCCAATTTACAAGCAAACATGTTAATATTTCGAAATTTCACTAACAACCAATCCAGGAGGCGATTTCTAAAGAGAAAGAAAGTATACATAATCAAAACTGAACTAGTGTACACTCAGTATTTCAATTAGATGAGCAACGTATGTTAATTAAGTATTTTTTTAAAAACAACTTACTTTCATGTCTAGAACATTTTGCAAATCAGTTTGAGTGGAATCAGGCAACAGTTGTTCATAACTAGCCAGAAATACGTTGGCTGCATTCGTGTCTATCAGACCCATGACAAAACCACTTGGAGGATTTACTGATTCCTGCTTCCCTGATGTGGCAACACCAACTGGTAGCATAACTGCCTTGATAATACGCTCAGCCTTTCCCATTCCTTCATGAACCAGATTTGTAAAACTTCGTGGAGGTGCTTGAGTGAACTTAAAATCATGCAAATCAGAATTGCTTAAAGTTAGTATTTTACTGAGTAATAAAAAAACTTCATACAATCTGTTCCCTTTATTATTTAAAATAAAGAAAGAAAAAACATATTTGCAGGATAATACGAACATGTTTTATTTTGTGGATTCTATTTAACTGTGTACATCAGTTATCAAGTATTGGTTTTGTAGGGAATTTTGTTTCATTGGTTGGAGGATTTCTTCATGAACTGATATCAGTCAGAAAATCATTGGAGAAACTTTAGAGTACTGGACAGCTACTTCGTCCTAGTTTGGGACTCCTCATCAGTACGTACCCAACGGGGTTCGAACCCAGGACCTTCTGGTTGCAAGCCAAGGTTGGATCAATGATAGCATGACAACGTCTTATTAGTCTGGTAACCGTAAGTGTTTTATCTGTGTGCTTTTGTGTTTTCTCCTACTGGCAAAACAATTAACTTAATTTTGATTTTCACTTATCGAGTTGAACTCACCATTAAGTTTCCAAATCTACTAGACTATTTTGTCAATCTTATAATTTTACTTTACTATTCACCTGCACCCTCTAGAACTCGCTACCATAATATGCATAAATGCAAACTGTTGTTCTATCTCGTATTTTGTCTCTAGTCTATCCTTGTTCCCAAGGGAAATCTGAAGTCTACCCCACCCCTCTGTCTAATTATTATATAAATAGCTACTCTATTAAAATACTGAACAATTCGTCTCCTTACATCATCTCTGGAATTATTTTGTCTATACCTTCTACGCATAACTCGAAGTTATTGTAAAAAGTATGTTCAGACACCATTTTGTAACTTATAATTGACTTTATCCGGGATGTACGCAGATGAAGAGAATCCACGAGATAAAACAAGCTCATATTATCCTACAAACATGCTTGTTCTTTCTTTATTCAAAATAAATTTTATCTGAAACAATAAAAACTAGGAGGAACAAAATGAATTCTATTCTTGAAGCACATATCAATATTTAAAAAACGACTAATTCGAAAATAAAAGTAATAATATGCAAAACACGCATTAGCGAACCGGTTTTGAGAATATTAGATAGAAACTTTTGCATTTGTAATCATAACGGCCAAACTCTACAACCATGAACAAAGGAAATCAAGGCCGAAAATCCATCAGTAATAATATTGCAACAGTAGAAGAAAAACAGACTTGGTCAAGGAATGGCTATTTGGAATTCGGTATCTGTGTACACCTTATCTTCAAAGCACCACTTGAACCATCTTCCATGTTGTTCTACTTCTGCCTTCTATATTGTGTTTCTTTGGCTCTCTTTCGTGTCTTCCATGTTCTGCCGAAGAATCATGCTCCTGTCAACGCCAAGTAAAATCCTGAGTTGCATCATCCTGGAGAGAATAAAGGACGCGCTGGATACAGAACTCCGACCAGATCAAGCTGAAAATCCAGGAAAGGCAAATCATGTTCTGACCAAATTGCAACTCTACGCATCATCATCACAGAACAAAGCATGGAATGGCAATCAAACCTCTACATCAACTTTATAGACTTTGAGAAGGCCTTCGACAGCGTTGACCGCGAAGTAATTTGGAAACTACTCGAGTACTATGGCGTACCCTAAATATTCATCAACCTCATTTAACAGCTGTACGACAACGCCACATGTCAAGTGATCCACAACGGAAAACTCAGCGAGGCGTTTGGAGTAAACACAGGAGTCAGACAAGGGTGCTTATTATCACCAATGATATTCCTAATTCTGGTGGACTGGATTATGCGTCAGACAGTGGGAAACGAGGAGACAGGGAGATCCTGAACCGACGTGAATAACCTAGAAGACCTGGATTCCGCTGATGATTTATGTCTGATGTCACACAAAATCGAAGACTTACAAGCGAAAACCGACAAACTGGTCGAAGAAGCAGCAAAGACAGGACTTCAGGTGAACATAGACAAGACGGAGGTTATGGAAATAACCAAACAACAACAACAACAGCAGCGGCAACATCCAGCGCCAATCACCATCAACGGGAGGGATTTGAAAGAGGTTACTTCATTCACTTATCTAGGGAGCATTGTCTCAACTACAGGAGGAACGGACGAGGATGTCAAATCGAGAATCGGGAAGGCGAGAAACACATTCATCCACCTGAAACCAATCGGGAAATCTTCGTCACTCAGCATCAACAACGAAATTCGGATTTTCAATACAAACGTCAAGTCAGTCAGTTTTGCTATACGGATCAGAAACTTGGCGGGTCACAAAGAATATTTCCAACAGCCTGTTGCAGACCTTTATCAACAACTGTCTTCGTTCTATACTGAAGATTAGATGGCCGGAAAGAATCACAAACAAGAAGCTATGGGAACAAACAAATCAGGAACCAATCGCTCAACAAATATGCAGGAGAAAGTGGAGATGGATTGGACACTCGCTGAGGAGGCCGTTGGGTGACATCGCGCGTCAGGCCCTCGATTGGAACTGGAAAGGGGAGCGGCAAGTGGGACGTCCAAGGGTGAGATGGAGGAGATCGTGTGAAGAAGAGTTGAAACAGTATGGATTAACATGGACGCAGGTGAAAAGTACAGCAGAAGACAGAAGCAAGTGGAGGCGTGCGGTTGAAGCCCTATGTTCCACTAGGAACCCAAGGGAACAATAATAATAATAATGTTCTGCCACGATGCTGAATTATTCGCTCTATTTGACGTCAAATCTATCTCTCCGCTATCTGAAGGTTCCTATGCCGATGAACGTCTGTTGATACACTAATGACAAATCTTATCAGTAGTACACACCAAACTATGACTAAATTAACATACTTTAGACAATAAACTACCTAAAAAAAAATCTTATTTTCACCAAAATCCAAAGGAATTAACTAAACAAAACGGGTGCATAGGGATTTCAGAAGTTTTGCATATAACACTCATCTTTATAACAGAAACACTGGTTGCTAATGTGAACCAAAAATAAACAAAATTCATCAGTGGGATCTATACTACAAGAGCAATTTTTATGGATTTACGAATATTCATGAGAAGTGTTAACTAAAGAGTGGTACTTTCAAGAGTTCAATAAGTACATTTGAATGTTACGAAACCAAACAGTAATAGTAAGCTCACCTTGGCGCCAAACAGAGGTACTTGAAGAAGAGAAGCTTTCAGTGACTGTGTATCCAGCAAAAGCTGTTCAGCTCCAAAAGTATTAACCGGCTTACAACGATACAAAGAATTCACAAATCTTGTGATTAGTGTATCCGCAAATTTTATGCAGATCTGCGTAAAAGCTGGCCTAACAACAATACACAAAGAAGTACACTGTTATATGGTTTTAAAAATGATAAAGGATCCAATAAAATTTGGAACTAATAATATTACCTGACAGTATACAAAGTTTCTCTTATAAGAGGAATTTGAGTACGCAGGTGATTAACAATTGATGTTACATATCCACTTTGATCTCCTACTTGAACAAAACTGTTCCACGGCAAACGTGCCATCGCTGTCAACTGCGGTTCGACTCCAGCCTCTAAGTCTGCCACTAAACGGTGAACACAAACAGATCTGCATGTAGCCAAAGCGTCGAGTTCAGAAGTAAATGATATTTTTGAAGCCCAACTAGGCGGTCTGACCTAAACGAAGATTTAAAAAAAATAAACCCTGAATAACAATAAAATCAGAAGGCGTTAAAAGTAATCCGTATGATAGTCAAATACATAAACAGTCAGGAAGTAAGTAAACGAAATAATACCTGTTTAATCAGTAGTTATTAAAAAAGCATTTATCCCCATATTTCTAAATCTGTTTGAAAGATTTAAACAAAAAAAACTTCTGATCTGGAGACAAGAGAAGTACCAGTTGAGATTAACGAAATGTCATATGATAAAAAAGTGCTGTCAGTAGATATATCCTCGATACTGGTCATGTTATGAATTCTAACACAGTTTCCCGGATGTATATTAAACAAACAGGGTGATGGTAGATTACAACGATAGGCAAAAGCAGCAGCATTCCCACAATCGAAGCCTAACTTATGCATATGCAAAAGGCATTTGTGGTCTGTTTTGTGTAGCTTTGAAAACGTGTTGCTTCTTTATTTACTCATTTTGTAATTTGTCCTGTCATTCTCTTACCATTCCTAAGACATTATTCCACTATCTTAATCTTCCTTTTCAGTCTATCCTATATTGCTTTACAGTGTACGTCGGTGGTTCGGCAGCAGAATGCTGGCCAACCACGCCACACGTAGTCCAGGGTTCGATCTCCAGCCGACGCACTCCCAAACCTCGTTTAGCTGATAATAAACCAAGCAAAGAGGGAAGTTTGGGCGCCAGACTAGCGATCCCACCCAGTAGAAATAAGACCACTGCTACGGAAACTTTAAGGCTCTAGATTGAAGCCCCATATTCCACTGGCAACGTAAAGAAATGAAATAATATTGTTTTAGCACTATTTCAACGCGTTTCATACCGCGTCCGTCAAATGTTAACTGGTTCAACTACATTAAATTCTCTGTCACCTTGAATCCTAATCACACCTTGTCAGTACTATGCTGAATTATTATTCTATTTCATCTGGATAAAAATTAACAGTATCATTTGTCGTCTAAATAGTAATTTGTACTTTTACTATAAATTGTATCCCCTTATTTTCCCTCATATTTGTACTAGTGTATAGATGTGGAAATACTCATTTCGTGGTGCTTGCACCATTAAATTAATATCAATGACATCTTAAGCACACACACACCCACACACAAATTTTTCCTCCAGTGAGTGTGTTGAACAAATTCGGTTCAATAAAAAGGTCATAATATCTATTGGTCTTGCTCCATACAAAATGATATTACGAATCACACCCAGACAATGCTAAATTTTTCCGAACAGCGGACCTTTATTTTAAATTAAATAGTAATTAAGTATTTGATGTGCCTACCTACTATGAATAACTCTGCATTTTTAAAGACTTGAAATCCATGAAATCAGCGAAAACAACAATAGAAATAATTCCTTAAATATAAAAAATTAAGATGACAAGGTAGTGAAGACCACTCTGAAGAAGAAGGAAACTGGAAGAAGATTTTTAAAAGTAACATTGTGAATTTATGTAGGAATGTGCAGACCACCTATTATCAACTACTGTCTTAAATTTTACATCATACAAAAACCCAACAAACAAATCTTACGGAAAATTTTTATAATACATTTTTGAAACATGTGTAAAAACTCAGAAAAGAAAAAATTCTTCGTTAATCAAAACATACCTCATATTTAAGGCGTTTTTCCAAATCTTCTACGGTCTTCAAACAAAATGCTGCAGTAACAAGTACAACACATACTCTGTAGATATCGTCTTTATTCAGTCGAACTCCCTGATGAATACCAAGAAAACAAAAAACCATTACTAATACTGTTTCGATTCATGAATTAAGACATTAAGTCAGATAGAAAGTTGAAAATTATGTTGACTGAATCATTGGTTTCAAAATAGAACTTTACACAGATGTGCAGCAGCAGTTCGAGTTGCTACACTCTTGACATGTAGCACACAAAGCAAGAGAAGAGAGATTCAAAAGAGAGATAACAAACGCAAGTGTGAGTGAGGTGAAAAGAATAGTAGTATGGAAGAACAATAGTTTTATTGGATACGACAAAACATAATGAGTGGATACATCTACGGTATCACTGACTACGAAAATTTTGAGCCATATCATCATTTGTCTCCAGCCATCGGCTTTTACCATCCCGAGGACCCTACATGGCCGGCTTAAACTAACTGTTGTGGATTTCAGTGACTGATGAAGCCATGTTTTGTTTTGACCACCACTAGCTAACTCTTTTCCAACCTGATTCTATGTCAGCTAACATAGCTCCTAGAGGAAGGCGATGACTAGATTAGGCATGTGCAACACATGTCCTAACCATCTCAATCGGTGTAACTTTACAACCTAGTCGACTGATTTCCCTCCTTGCCTAGAACTCAACTAAAGCCTAACCACCTAACACTGGCGATAGAATGCAGGCACTTACGATTAAAGACAGCTAGCCCATTTCATGTCTGCCACTTTCAATAGCCAATTATGTTACTTTATTAGGATTCAGAAGCCTGAAAACCTACCGGGAAAGTATTTTTTTAAATAAAACTCACTGATATAGATCCATTTATTACATAGAATTAGGCAAAACAAAGAAAGAACGACAGTCAATACACTTTTCTCAAAAACTGGCCTTTTATAACTTAGCAGTGTTGTGAAGAGAATTTTAACCCTCCAAAAGGGAAGAATATTACTCAATGAATACATACATAGATACAGTTTCGGTAATATATTGCACGCAATATTTAACACAACCTAAACTGACCACATTAGGTAGTAGTATTTATTGATCACAGAAATCGCACATTACACACAACAACAACAAAATCTCTCTCAATTAGAGAACAATAATGATTGCTTTCCTTTAGAAGGCGAACATATTAGTATTTTCGATGGTACATTCACTCTTTGTAACCTCGTAGATCCATCAACCTGTTTTTGACGTACACTTTTTTTTTATTCATTGTAGTTTCTTTGTACATTTTTGGTTTTTATTAAACTTTGTGTGCTATATGGTGTGGTACACACTTTTGTGCAAAGTTCCACACGCTGCAAACTCAGTCAGTTAGTCAGAAACACTTAACAAACATATGTACGTAGCTTGTATTTTTAACTGATTCATATAACCTTCACACCATAGAGAAGTTTCTATATACAAGGAAATGGAAAATTAAAAACACTAATATTACGCGAAGCAATTTTACTTCACAGAATAAAAAATTTTCACGTAAGATGATCTACGAGCTCGCCCTGTAACCAGAAGGTCCTGGGTTCGAACTCTGGTGGGTGCGTACTGATGAACAGTTCCAAACTAAGACGAAACAGCTGTCCAGTACTCCCAGGCTTTCCAGTAGTTCTCTAACTGATGTCAGGTCATAATGAATCTCTTCAAGCAATAAAATGAGTGAATTGCCGATTTCATAGGACATATATACATATATTTAAACAACTTATGTATTCTTGTGTTAAAAAAATTCTGTCATGAAAACACGTTAAATAGTCAACCTAATAAACTTCTAAAAACTCGTAAAACTAACCCAGAACACCAATGGATACAAGTAATCCGAACTTTCTAGAACAAGATCATTATTCATTAATAGGAGTCTAAAATTCCACACAATTACTTCCACATTTAACGACAAATTCACTATCACATGCATGAAAATGTGACAGTGTCCACTAGTTTTATTAGACGCAATTGATATAATCTGTTCTCGACATATACATTAGCTTGGCGCCAGATAAAGTGAAAGATCAGATAGAAAAAAATTGCTCTGTATAAACGAAACTAGCCACTATATAGACTGAATAAAATTAATGAAACATGCAAAAATAACAATAACAGTCCTTGCCTGTATATCGTCTCGAAGTAAATTAGTAATCACCTGATTGCTTGATGAAGTAATCACCTCAGATTGTGTAGAAGTGCTTTTGCTTTGTGTTTTAATGTTTTCCAGTGCAGCACCGATTCCCGTTTGACCACGACCAAGGCCTAACATTCACATACATAATGAATGAGACAAGATAGAAGACATACCCAATGCTGATAAACTGCTTAAACCAAATGCAGCCATTTTTGCTGCTACATCCGGTGCAGATAGACCCGTACTAGTTCCATTGTTGCTGTTAATCGCTAAACCTGGAATCTGAGCTAAAAGCACACGCACAGTGTATTCCGATAGATATTGTCGTAGAAGTCGAACAAGACCCAACAGACCACGACCACGATTTAACTGCAGTGTTTGTTTTAATATTTGTTTATAAAATAGGAAAAGATCAGTAGCAGAATATAGAGTATTCGCACCAGGATCATTGGAATTCTGTTTATTTTGCACACAATCAAAAGGATTATCTGAAAATGGAGGAGATACAGTTTTGATTTAAATACTTCACGAATTCAAAGGGATCCTTTCAACAGCAACAACACCAACAACAAACAGAAAAGCATGCTTCACGAACACCACCACATTCTGTTGCCTATTATATGTTTTGTATGTAAATTTTAACTATGCGCGTATAACCATCGACTCTGTGAAAACGAAACACCAGATAGTTAAGTATCTGCTACTAAATTAGCATGTATTAAATGGAAGCAAATATTCACACCTTGATCAAAATCTCCATCGTTAGTAGTTCACTCTTAAAAGTGAAGAAGTTCTCGTAAGCCTACACAAACTGTCAGTCGTAAGCAGAAATTACAGAAGCACCTACAAAAAGGTCAAGGATACATCAATATAAAACGGCATCGATACTGTACTTATTCTACTACGAACTGTCAACGAAACAGGGGACTTTAAAAAAAAAACAGTGGAACAGAAGTATAGGAATTAGTTCAGCTTTATGGAGACTTATTAGATAAACGGCAGTTAGAATTAGAAAGCTAAAGCATTCAACCGATTAACTCATAATTTTAGGCTACCCCTTCACAGATTTATATATATATATATATATATATATATATATATATATATACGTATATGTTCAAATTACAGAGAGGAGAGTGATTTCCGACCAAAAAGAAACACAGACTCAAGTGTGACATAGTGATGAATAAATCACGGGTTTATCTGAAACTACCATATGATTTTCATAATAGAATGTGTACTTAGTATTTGCATATGAAGATTTACATATTATATGTGCAAAAGCGGTAGTCAGTCAGGAGGCATCACAGTAGATGGGCCTAGTTAGTCAGTATCTTAAGATGACAGCATGATTCTCTAGTGACCTGCAACACATGATTGGGTTTATCACTTACATAGTTGTTGTGGTTTTTTTGGTTTTTGGATAGAGGAACTATAGTACACCAATATCTGCCTTATCATTACCGGTTATTTAAATCGTAAACAATAAAAGCATGCACGCAAAGAATCAATGATAATAAACTTTAACATATGACACGGTGTGATTGCACATCAACATAAAATGTACCATTTTTGAAAACATCCTCGAGATCCTGATTTTCTAAGCTTGATTTATTGACAGTGAAATCACCAACTAAACGATTAATCATTTGCTCTCGTAATGCTTTATCCACATGAACCAAATAGAGATCAAAGTATTGGTCAAAACAGCTAAAACCATAAGCACAAATAAGAATGATAGTTAATCACGAAAAAGGTGGACATTTTCAATGCATATTCACATTAATGCTTATCATTAATCAAACGGAGTCAACCAGTAGAACACAGTATTATCATAAAGTCATTAGTAAAACAATATTATATATATATATATATATATTAGTTACATGAAAGCAAATTTTTAAATTCTGTTACATATTTATTATTATGATTAAATGCGCGGCTTACAGCATTCTACTAACAAACCTCTACGATTGATTTATGCATGATATTTATTTGTAGAAGAGTAGAGCATAACTTCATACATTTATTGCTATTTATGGATTCAGATAGAGCAAGAACAACAGTCTTTGAAGAATAAAATGGTACCATCATTTATATCGTCGGCTTCTCATCAGCTGCTGACACAGCCCAAAGACATTATTAAGTTTATATGCAGAAACAATTTTGACATACTTTCACAGAGTTCATTTTTAGACAAAAAATCAATGTCTGCAACAGTGCTAATAATAATAATTACTTTAGCCCAAATAATAACACTAATACACAATCCAACCTTTCGGCGTTGCGTAATCCGATGAAAGAGAGGATGAAAACTGATAAGCGCTTCTTTCTGAATGCATATATCGGGTTGCAGGCGCTGGTTGGAGATTGCTTCAGCAGACTTAAGGAGAACTGAACTCTTTTGCTTATTGATAATTTTGAACGATCTTGCGACTTTCACCTCATGATTCGCGTCAAGGAGATACCTGGCTATGACATTGTTAAAAGCATTTGTTTCCTTTGGACATACGCTTTTTGTTACATGTTCAAGAAACCAGAGGTATCCCTTCTTTCTGCTCTTCCAAAGTAACTGCTCCCACAGATACATCTAAATTTGTATACACAATTCGATTTAACATGAGAAGGATATCTGTCGACTTTTCATTGCACCAAAGAGCATCTTGTCCGATAGACGGGAACCAATTTAGCCGCAGGATTCCATTGTGTATGAGTATTATTGTTAGGGATAAAGTAGTTATTATTAGCATTGTATGCATATGTTGATTGATTGACTTTTTAATTGGTTGGAGGATTTTATCATGAGCTTACACCGGTTGGAGAGCCATTGGAAAACCTGGGAGTACTGCACAGCTGTTTCGTCTTAGTTTGGAACTGTTCATCAGTACGCACCCACCAGGGTTCGAACACAGGACCTCCTAGTGACAAGGCGAGTTTGTAGACAATTAGGCCACTCGGACCAGATCCAATGGCCCAGAAGGTCCTATGTCCGAACCCCGGTGGGCGCGTACTGATGAAGAGTTCTAAACTAGGTCGAAACAGCTATCCGGTACTTTCAGGCTTTTCAATGGTTATCTAACTGATGTCAATTGATGATGGAATCCTCCAACTAATCAAACAAATCCCTACACACCAATATTTCAAAATGATTGATTTTTGTTTAAAAATGAACTCTGTGCAAGTATGTCAAAATTGTCTCTGCAGATAAACTTAATAATGTCTTTGGGCTGTGTCAGCAGCTGATGAGAAGCCAACGAAATAAATGATGGTACCATTTTATTCTTCAAAAACTGTTGTTCTTGCTTTATTGAAATAATGCATAACTGTTTCCCTGTAAGTTGGCGTCTACATTCCAATCAACGATAGACAAATTCATATAACATACTCTATGACAATAAATGAAGATCCACAATGAAACTGAAAGAAAAAATAGGTAAATTAGAGCAGTAAGATAGGTCGATAGTGTCGAGTGGCTTTCTTGATATTGTAATACAGAAGGAAATAGTGTTAATGTATTACTATGGTGACATGTTACGTATAAAAATCACTTTTTTTCACAAGACTATTTATTTCACCACTGGTTATTTTTGCACTGTAGAATTTGCAATAAATAATTAAATTAAACTGCTACTCCCTCGTGAAGAAAATTCTGTTTACTGGTAGGTATAACAGAAAATCGACAAAGGCAAACAGCAAACTTTAAATCATGCAAGATTAATCGATTCACTAACAAGAAAATTACCTAGAAATGATCCCATCAAATATTTGCATTTTCCAAGTATTAGTAGAATCCTCTGTGACCGGCAAGTCGGTTTTGTCTTCTCTTGACTCTTTGCACTGCAGCTCTCCTGAACCATCATCATTATCACCAACACCACCACCACCACCAACATCATCATCGTCATCATCATCATCGAAAGGATTCAGTGAACGTTCAACATTCTTCGAATTTACTATTTTACTTTTTAAGGCTTCAATTGCATCAGATGTATACGTTTTGTTTAAACTGCTTTCAAAGGATAAAGTGCGTTGCAATGCAAAGACAATTAAGTTATGGGTAAGTTCTGACTGACGACGCTTCATAACGGTTTCCAAACCAGTCCGTGTAATTTGGCAGAACTCTAGAACAAATCTAATCAGTTGCGACAAAAACAAAAAACACAAAAGCTTGTGAATTAATTTGACACATATAAACTGAATGAAAAATGATTTTTTTTAAAAACAGTATAACTATGTACAGTAAAGTTCAATGGTATCCCAAAAACAGAATAATTACTAACACCAATTCATCGATAATAATAAGATAATAGAACGACACGCCTTTTCTCAACGTAGACCTTTGCAGAAGTTGCCATACTCCAGCATACCGCACAAACAAAAATAGTGGAAAATAAAAAAGGGAAATATAATGAACGGAAATGCATGGCGAAAACAATACTTAGGGTCAAGGATCAAGGAGTGAACGAATCATTGCATTGAGAACAGTTTTAAACCATACAACCACCAACGGTCCCAAGCATACGGCTTTTAACCTCTAAAAGAGGTCACTGACGAAGCCAGCACCATCCCACATGACTGGCTTACACCAACAATCAAAGCCCATTGCTCACTTTTTCCAACCCAATCACATGTCACCTAACATTGCTCGACGATGAAGGCGATCGCTTGACGTCCATAACACATATTCTAGCTCATCTCACTCAGCCGACGCAGTTTCACGACTTCATTGATTGACTCTTTCTCTCTCTCTCGTCACCCAACATCGTGCGCCTAACTTCAATATTATTCACGATATCATGACAACACTTTACACGAGAGATTGAAGGCAATTACCTCTGGTCAAAGACAACTAATCTCTTCAAGTCTTCCACGTTCAGTGCCTATGTATCACACTCATAAAGAGCGAATTGAACCACTGAGCAGTAAATGCGTCCTTCTGTCGATAGCCGAATATCATATCTGTGCGAGATATGATGTAAGTTGGTGAATGCCACACGAGCCTTCGGTACCAATCCTGACATTTCGCTAGCAATCAATCCCACTACGACTTTTGCAACTTCTCACATTGGTGAGGCGGTCAACACACACTTAACCACTACACACACTCCCTATCTCTAACATACGAGTCAGAGTGGTGCGGTGCAGGCCAGTCCTGCAGCATCGGATTTCGTTTGACACGGACGAATCGCATACGAACAACAAATACCAATATCTTTGATTATGGTGTTCAGAAGACTGAATTTGGCGATGTCTCCACCATAACGACGAGACTCTTCCCTGGTAAGACACCAATCAATCCCTGAGTTACTGAAGTCAATTTGGATCACATTCATTCGAACATCTACGCCGAAGCTAAATAAAAATGAAGAATATTGACTGGACAGACATCACTGGTTGTCATCAGATGTCAGATGACACTTTTCCATAAACCGTTACACGGCTATGTGAGTTCGACCGCTCAGTGTGTGGATTAGTGCGAGATAAACACGTTGTCGTCACTCTTTGTGGCCAGACATTTGCACGGAACACAAATACATACACACATGGTTGACAAAGTTAAATTCCGTCCTCGGAAATTGTTTCACTTATCGACGGTGCTTACAACTGGTTTCCCTAATGAATCTAACTAATTTTATCCACCCGGTTTTACCTACGACTGATGCGTTTTCCATCTATTTTGATTTCGTCGGACACTACTGTTCATGGTCGTTGTGTAGACTTTAAGTCCTTTCACATTCGAGCAACGTTTTCCACTAATCATATTCCCAGCTCACCGAAATCAATCCTCTTGAGTCTGTCGATTTGAATGAAGCAGTAGAAATGGTAAGGTATTTTCTTACCTTTGTTTTCAGGTTATGAAAAACCTCCACCTAAATTTCTACAGCTGACTAGATAGTATACCAATTTTTCTGGAGATTAGCTTTTGCATCAATATAAGATACGCACTCAGTTATTGATTGTTCAGATGAAAACTTAGTGTTCTCATCAAGGAGTTGGTGGTATTGAAGTTTCGCAGCTAAATGTTTTCTGTTCTTTCAGCTGTGGGCGAATAAATGCATGGACTAGTTCGTAATCACAGTTTACGCATGTGCTTCACAGAAGGAGTGGTAGTTTTCTACCGATCCTTATCAATAGTTTACGGTTACGTGATTTGGTCTCCTTGTGGCTGAATTTAGTGCTAACGCGGAACATAAAATGTATTTCTAAAGTCTTCGGCATTTAGACAGAGAAACTGGATCTCTACACACAAGAGAAAAGTATTCAAGCATTTCTACTATCATGGTAACAACCTTGTTATTTTCTACCAACTTGATTTTTTTGCCTTTTTAACTTTTATACGATATGTATTGCTGACTGATAACTGAATGTAACATCAGATTAGAACTTTTCCCAACTATTCACTCACGTTTTCTTGTATCTTTCAATTTAACATAGTTTTGCGCTCTTACTTAAGTGTAAAATTTTAATAATCTGAATTGAAATTCTGTCAGTCCTTCCACCCGTTTCTTTGTTTCTTAATTTTTTCTGTCAACTTATTCACTAAACCATTTCACTTTGCATCTGGTAGCAGTCCATATACTGATAAATTCAATGAACTTATAATTACCCCCTCGTGAGTCGGTGGCGTAGAGGTAGAATTCTCGCCAGCCACGCTCCACGTGGTCCAGGGTTGGATCCTCAGCCGACGCACTCCCAAACCTCGCTTGACTGGTAGTAGGCCTGGCAAAGAGGGAAGGTTGGGCGTGAGACTGACAATCCTACCCCGTAAAAAATGAAACCACTGCTACGGAAACTTCAAAGCTGAAGAAGCTTGAAGACTTATGTTGCACTGGGAACACAAAAGATTAAAACAGCAATCATAATCAATAATAATTACCTCCACTTCATTAAGTAATTATGTAATCCCTTGCTTGTTCTAGAAACTGTTTGTCATTGACTTCCTTAGTCCCAAACTACTGAGGCTACCATGAACGAGTGATCAACAACAGAATCACATGTTTGTAAATAATGAAAATACAACTTCATATCCTTAGGAAAATGACTTAATCGAAAATACAGTTTCCTTCACTTAACTTTCTTCTGTTGGAAATAACGCTATCGGTATCCATCAACTTTGAATTCACTTTAGAATAAAAGAAAGAAAGTACTTAGTACTGACTTCGAGTTGAATTAATCGTATGAAATTCCCAATTATAATATGTATATATAATTATTATTACTGTTTCCTTTATTTCCTAGAGGAACATGGGGCTTCAGCCGTGCGTCTCCATTGCGTTCGGTTCTCTGCTAGAGTCTTCACCTGGCTCCAAGTCTGCCCACACGTTTTCCTCTCCCCTTCACATAACCTCCTCCAAGTCACCCTTGGATGACCAACTCGCCGCTTCCCATTCTGTTGGGTTCCACTCGAGCAATGGCTTGTCTAGTGATGTCACTTGATGGTTTCCTCAGAGTATGGCCAATCCATCTCCATTTCCTCCTGCCTATTTGTTTCACAATCGGTTCCTGGTTGGTTCGCTCATTGTCAGAGATCTCTGTTGCTGATCTTTTCTGGCCAGCCATCTGATCTTGAGTATTGAGCGAAGACAACAGTTAATGAAGGTCTGTAGTTTGTTTGAGATGCTCTTTATGACGCTCTGGCCAAGTCTCTGATCCGTATGGTAGCACTGACTGACTTCACATTGGAGTTGAAAATCCGGATCTTATTTTTGATGCTGAGGGCTGTTGACCTCCACACAGACTTGAGAGTAGTGAAAGCTTGTCTTGCTTTTCCGATTCTTGCTTTGATATCCTCACCAATTCCGCCTGTAGTTGAAACGATGCTTCCCAGGTAGGTAAAGAAGGCTGTTTCTTTCAGGTTCCTACCATTTATGCTGATTGTTGTCTGTTGTCGTTGTTGTTGCTGTTGCTGGTGTTGGCCAGGAATCTTCATCACCTCTGTTTTCTCTATGTTCACCTGAAGTCCTATCTTTGATGCTTCTCCTGCTAACTTGTTGCTTTTCACTTGCATATCTTCCAGTTTGTGAGAAATCAGACATATATCATCGGCGAAGTCCAGATCCTCCAAGTATTTTGTGTGAGTCCATTTTATGCCTGTTTCCTCATTCCCCGCTGTCTGTCGCATTATCCAGTCTACTGCAATCAGGAAAATCATTGGCGAAAGTAGGCAGCCAGCTTGTCTTACTCCTGTCCTCACTTCGAAGGATTCCGTAAGATTCCCGTTGTGGATTACTTGGCATATATATATATATATACATATATATATATATATATATATATATATATATATATATATATATATAGGATTTGACTTCACTCAAAGAAGCATCGGTTATTTTTTATGTTAAATTTAACGGTATTTAAATTTGATGTGAATGTACCCTGATGAGCATTTATAAAGCAGCTTTGAATTATCTCCATGAAGAAGAGGAACACTGAATAAGTCTTTTGAAATAACACTACTGCAACGCTTACCTTTCAGTCACCAACCAAGAAGGAGGAAACACTGAAGTAAATAAGCGTTCCAAAGGGACCAGATTTGTCCGTAACCAGTTGTATCTTTGATCAATCTTGTCCAACCAAGCAGCAGTTTGAGTTGGATCAAACAATTCCTTGTATTCGGTTAAATGATGGCAGATGAACCAATCTAAGATATCCGAACTGACATGCAGATTCTTAGGGAGGAGATCAACAAGTTCGCAAATAGAGAAAATCAATTCTTTGTTGTCCGTCACAGTTTTAGTTGCCTGGTATTTTAGTCAAATACAGAAGAGATTGAACAACAATCCTTAACATTATTGACTACATACAAAAGAACAGAATGAAAATCGTAGACACTAACAGGCATATAGTTGACACACACACGCACATATTTGATAAGAATGTTCATGACATGGTCTGTCGGGAAAACATCAGTACTTCAAAAACAGGAATATAAACACAGCTTTCACTTTTCAAACCGATTGGGGAACTTTTCAGTTTAACCTTGGGAAATTCAGCCTAAGATTGAACTACACCGACCCCTAGATTAGAAATAGGAAGTGAAGTGGTAGAGCACGTTGACCACTTCAATTATTTGGGAAGTACCATCAGCCCCAACGGGTTGATCTCCGACGAAATCTCAGCACGTATACA